GCTGTGCAGCGGCGGCGCGGCCTCCTTCTCTCCATCCTCCGCAGGCTCACTCAGCTCCCTCTCCGTGTCCGCAGGGACAATGTCCTCCGTGCTGTGCAGCGGCGGCGCGGCCTCCCTCTCAGCATCCTCCGCAGGCTCAGTCAGCTCCCTCTCCGTGTCCGCAGGGACAATGTCCTCCGTGCTGTGCAGCGGCGGCGCGGGCTCCCTCTCAGCATCCTCCGCAGGCTCACTCAGCTCCCTCTCCGTGTCCGCAGGGACAATGTCCTCCGTGCTGTGCAGTGGCGGCGCGGCCTCCCTCTCAGCATCCTCCGCTGGCTTTCTCGGCTCCCCGTCCGTCACCTTGTTTACCGTTGTCTGTCGCTCCTGCTTCAAGATTTGTGGCGGCGCTTCTTCCATGGTGTTCCTTGTACGTGTTTGATCCGCGTGCTTTGGTGTCCTTGCGTACAAATTGCCGAAGCGTTGTCTTTTTGTAACGCGGTTTCTGTTGTTTGTGGTTGCCTCAAGCCGCCGTAGTGCCATCAACATTTGTGCGCCATCCTCCTTTTCCAGTCGTTTCATTGTGTCGTTAAGCGAGTTGAGTCGGTTACGGAGGTAAGTGCGTGCGCTCTCGGTGGGTGTCATTTCGTTTGTTGCCTTCATATTGTATTGCTCCAAATCTTGAAGCTTTTGTGGCTCTGGTGGTGGCTCCGTGGCAGCCTGCTTGTCTTTTGTGGGCGGTGCCAGAATACTGTCTGCCTCCAGTTCAGGCCCTAGAGTTGCTTTTTCACATGGTTTAGCCTGTAAATGACTCTCAAAACCCTCTTCAGATTGCTTGTGTTGTACAATTTTATTAACCGTAGGTTCTTTGGTGGGAATGGATTGCTGTAGTTCAGCGTCGGTGCGAGTGCCGTCGTGTTCCACAGCCGTTTGCACAATGAGAGAGTCTCCGTAGTACTCATCTGTTGTTATGTTCGTTCGAGGGACGTCAAGACGACAGGCGATGTCCTGCGCAACTGCCTCCTTGATTTGAGGCCGTATCTCACTTGGCAGCGCACGCCATTTATACCCACAAGTAACGCCACAGAGAAGGGATGTTTGTGCAGCGGCTGACGCGGCACGCTTTGGCTGGTGTAGCTTATCCTCCGTCCTTGGATCCTTTTTCTTCTCATCCCCCTCGCCGCCCCACACCTTCGGAGTCGCTGAGTATGGTCGAGATGGCTGCAGAGGAATTACGTGGGACCTTAGCCGCTCAGCCTTCCG